GGGGGGGGTGACAGTAGGGGTAAACTTCATGTACATTACATTTCGTGTCTTATTATGGGGACTATGGAGAGAACAGAGGCACATTCGTTTAAATGATATGCACATGCATTGATGCAAACATATACGGACATAGGTACATTGGCACACATGTAGGCCTAAATGGACAAAAAATACATAATCACAGAGTCGAGTTTTACGACAATTAAAACAAACATCACCACAACGAATTCTTTACTCAGGTTTGGTAATTGTTTACAAAAGTAAAACACTGAATGAAAGTGATGTGCCTATTAAATTCTAATCGTGCATCTCTAAACAAGGTCGCATGACTTCACAATGACTATCATTTTAAAACAAACGGTTCACCATTCAGTCCTTTGGGAGCCAATATTTTAAGGGGGGGGGGGGGGGCAGAGCTTTGTAGTCTATGAGACGCAAACGCGTGAATATATTAAAGACAAACCTATTGTATCGATGATATGTTGTACCTACCTACAATCTTTGTCAAATTGACCCCTGAATACGCTTTCAAGTCTCTCCAGATGAAGTGAGGAACCTTGAACATGAAGGCCTGGACGAGGAAGATGACTGTTACCCATCGATAATAGCTGACGTCATTGTCTGGCCTGTCGATAAATATTGCGGAACAGACCCTCTTGTGGCATTCTTTCTTCAGGCGCATTAAGAAAAAAAAGAAAAGAAAAATCGTTCTTCATCTTCTTTAACCTTTTTCATCATTAAATTTATTGAACGTTTTCTTGTTCTAACCTTTCTATCCTTTTTTTCTACCACTTATAACTCCCCCCACAATTAGTTATGTTTTTGCTGTTGTTGTTGTTATTGTTGTTATTGTTGTTGTTGTTTGTTTGTTTAGTATAGGGTTTTACGGCGCTCGCAACTGCATAAGGTCATATGAGCGCGCGGGACACACCTAATACTTTTTCGTTGGTAGGAAATTTTGAATTTTGCCCGGGTGGCGGCCGAAGCCTACTCTTATCGATTTTAGACCACCAAGGGATCTTTAACGTGCGCAACTTGCACACGGGCCCTCCGATATTTTTCGCCCTTTTCCGAGAAGGCTAGGTGTAGATCTTTCCTACCAGAAGATCAGGGGTGTGGCAGAAAGACAGCAGTTAGGGGGAGCTAAGGAGTAGCAGTAGAAATGCTGCAGAAAGAGTCAGGAGCCCAAAGGAGGGGGCAAAGGAGGTGAGGGGGTGGGGCAGAAAGTGGAAATGAAAGCAGACAACAGAACATTGTTAGAGATCAGGAAAGGATGTGAAAGGAGACAATTTTAGAGAAGAAAATTTTTTGGTCGCTACCCGGATTCGAACCCGGGACCTTTGAATGAGAGGCCAACACCTTAACCTCTAGGCCACGAGAGCCCCCTTGTTGTTGTTGTTGTTGTTGTTGTTGTTGTTGTTGTTGTTGTTGATGTTGTTTTTTGTTGTTGCTGTTGTTGCTGTTGTTGTTGTTGTTGTTGTCGTTGTTGTTGTTGTTGTTGTTTTTTGTTGTTGTTGACTTCTTCTTCTTCTTCTTCTTCTTCTTTTTCTTCTTCTTCTTCTTCTTCTTCTTCTTCTTCTTCTTCTTCTTCTTCTTCTTCTTCTTATTATTATTATTATTATTATTATTATTATTATTATTATTATTACAATCACAAGCAAGTTTAGTATACTTGCAGCTCACCTATTCTCTTCAAGAGGTATTGGATCATCGAAAGGCACGTTGTACAGTGAGTTGACCCAGCAGTGGTTGTTGATATAACGTTTGTAGCGTTTGTCCTTGAACTCAGTTGGGACCCAGCAGATGATCGGATCTCCAACGTACTGTTTCGCTCCGGAACCCACAGCGAGGGCTGAAATGGATTCTACCTTAGTATTTTGTTGTTGTTGTTGTTGTTGTTGTTGTTATTGTTGTTGTTGTTGTTGTTGTTGTTGTTGTTGTTGTCATCGTCTTCTTTTGTTGTGGTTGGTTTGTTTGGGGTTGGGTTGTTTGTTTTTTTGTGGGGTTTTTTGCTATTGTGTTGTTGTCGTCGTAGTCGCCATCGTCTTCAACGTTGTTGTTGTTGTTGTTG